AACAACTTATTGACTATTCGCACCTATTTAAGCCTTACTATTATTCGGCGTTTGATATCCTTTGTACGTTTACTGATTATGCGACTCACTAATTGAAGTGTAGAGGCCTATCACAGGTGTCAGCTTAAAGCTCATACTGGGTGATAAAGACTGTTTTTATTCACTACTGTTATATAGCGAAAGGGTTAGTATCTAATATTTTTGGCCGGTAACAGTTGAATAACTGCATCCTGGTAGACTATGAATAATGTACCAATGTATCCTTTCTTACTTTTCCAGGCTCGCAAACAACAATAACGTACAGATGTTGCGTGTACAAACGGTATGTGTTCGTATAACTTATTATTGGAAATATATCATTATTACTATTATTGTTACTATCCTTCGTTGGTCTCATGTGTGTTGACCTCTTCCCTCCCACGCACTAACCTGGTTGTTTGATACGTTTTTGTCAGTCCCTCGTCTTTCGTGTCTGTAGCCTGCTCTGTTTTACTTGCCGATATGTCGTAGAGTTGTCTCTTGTCTTTGCACGTACTCCTCTTCACTTCTTTGTGCGGTGTTTTGTACGTTGTACTCAGATCCTCTTTTCGTTGTGCATCCTCGCACTAGTTCATCACCTGCTTCACCATCCTCCCCTGGATTCTCCATTAGCTTCCATGTGTCCGTCCAGATCCATTTCTTGTCTTGTTTTCTCTTCCTTCCTAATACGGTAATGCAGATTTCCTCACACGTATCTTTGAAACACTTCCTGTGTCTTTCTCCGCGTTTTGCTTCAGTAAGGTTATTTCGTCCTTACTTTAGGTTCCTGGTTTTCAGCTTGAACTTTGGTCGATCACGAACTTTTGTGAGGGCTTTCAACTCGATTATGAAGTTGGGTTGCTCGCACTAGATAGTAGTGTGGGTGGTGTGAACCTACATCCGCTTCCCTTCTTCATCTGATCTGATCTTTGTCCAGAAGGCTGGCTGCGTCTCCATCTCCACTTCCTTCACATTGAGATGAAGTTGATGTGATTTTTAGTGTGTCCGGTATTTGCTGAAATCAGATCCATGTCGCCGCCTTGTTAATATCCGTGTGTTTGCACACGCTGCCTCCAATCACCAAATCGTTGAATGCTCAGATGCCCTTCAAACGGTTATCCATTCTCATTCATTTCACCGAGTGCCTCCCGATCCGTGATGCATGATTTCCCCTCCTGTGTTTTCTGTTCCCGCTTTGGCATCCATATCACCCCATCAATTAGAATATTGATGTCACCGACTAATAATAGAAATAATATGTATGTACATTTCATGCAGCACAGGTTACTGTGGTTGGGTCTTGTCCATTTCTGATTGCAGTTATTTATAGAATTCCTCCTCCTTCTCTTGATCTACATTATTCGTAGGTGCACAAAGTAGCATCATATGATTTTGGCTTCCCTATCTTTTAAGTTGAACCTTGCCGTTATGATCTTGATCCTGCAGGATGGGACTGGTTCCCACTGCATGAGAGCTCTCGATGCTCTTGGGGAAATCATGATGGCCACTCGAAAACTCAGTGTGCTCGTGGTTGCCGTCTGGGCGACAATATTGGGGTAGATTGCTGACCCTCCAGTTGACAGTTGGGAGAGTCCACTCCCACTCCCTCTGCAGATTCCTCGCAGATTTCTTGTACTTTTATGCCATATCTACTCATCTCTTTTGCAATCTGGGCAGCTTTGCCATGTTCATACATGGTGCGGACATTCCATGTTCCCATCCTTGCTTTCGCTTTTATGGAGAGGATACACATCGGACGACTGGCTTCCCGGAGGCAGGCTTTTTACCGTCTGGGGTCATTTCGTCTCCCCGATCCCAGCGAGGAATACGTTTATTCTTATTTTTTATAATTTTTTAATGCTTTGAGGTTTCTTTTGCGATTGGATCGGTTTTCTGGCGTAGGGTTGCGAGCCCTATGCACAACCTCACCTCTCTATCCGGGCTTAGTACGAGTTAGTTAACGGTGAGCTGGTTAACCAGTAGAGGTTAGAGGAGTGACATAGCACAGATAATTTTCGTAGCTTCTTCCGAAGTATTCGAGGGACGTATTGGTCCTGACTCCCCCTTGCATTAACTGTTGTCACTGGAGTAATGATATATGAGCACAGCATTTTGTTTCTATGAGAAAAAGTGAATGACCCTATAAGTGATGCTGCTTGGATGTATTCATCCCATGGACCGCACCTTTGGAGCTCAATTAATACCGTCCATTCTTGCTTTTGTAGCCATAATATAACATACTTCTCAAAAGGTTCCTAGGTTCCTGAATTTGCCACGATCTACTGAAGAACTATGTCGGTGTCCTGCTATTCGACCCCTTGTTATCTCCGGAGCATCGATTTTGTTTCTTCAAATCCATCTCCTATGTGTCTTAAATGGTGACTTTTAATGTATTACGCATTACTAATTATATCAGTGAATTCATATTGTCAAAATGATCATACCTGCGAACTGGTTTGTATTTGTGTAACCTATTTTGCACAGTAGACACATGTTATTATTATAAAACCAAACAACTGCAGTGAGCTAGTTTATTAAACTAGTAGAAGTATGTCAGTAGCAGTATCCAGCAACTGATGTCTTCTCAGCAACAGGCCCGAGAAGCCGGTAATCTGATGGCGCAGAAGCATGATTGTCTGGGACACAGATAAGTACTTCTGATGCCCAGAAGGGCGGGCCAAACAATGAGTAACACCAAGATAGTAGTTTAACAGAGTGCATATAAATGCAGCGCGGGTTACCAGGGATTCAGTTATTGCAGAAAAATTCGCAACCATGAAAATGCACTACGAAATATAGGGGGTCGAATCTATATATTTTTATCCAGTATCCAGCTTGCTAAGTGAGACGTTTCTTTTGAACACATTTTACTGGTCAACTGCACTCTTCGTTAACTCTACCAGAGTTGCAGGTGTCAATTAGAAAATTCGATGATCACTTAATATGTCTACTGGGCATAGTCCACTGATCGTTTTCTGCAGTCCCCTTAAAGCCACGGCAAGTTGTGAAGCCGAAGAAAGGTTTATCCACATGCTTTAAGTGAGAACAGGTATATATGCCCCATTACTGTTCGTACCGTTTGTGACACCCCACCACCTTATTCAACTGCATAATACATTGTTTGCGGGATAACTTCAGCCCCACTCCCCTAGCTGATAAGCAGTTCGAAAATCGCGATGACAGATACTGGTAGTTTGAGCAACGCGGGCTCCATAAACTTAAATTATATCAACTCTGAATGTAGTTGGTTCCAACCTGAAATTTTAGGTTGTGGCAATTGTAAGGACGACTTCTTGGTCTCCAGATCTGTTATGCCAGAAATAGAAACAGTTCTTATCCCAGTTTCAAAAAGCTTCTACGGCCTAAAACAGTTATTTATAACCGGTTACATCTCTTCTGACGCTAGTGCTCCTCAAGGTTTTTAAAACCGCATCAAGGCCAGCCAGAACGGTCGATCCCCAACATCTTTTGAATGCATCAGAAGGAAGAGGTGGTGATAGATTCTTCAGGAAGGAGGTTCAAAAGTTCAAAAATCCTAAGTGAAAATTTGTCATCAGGGATCTTTCTGGTTGCGCTGTGACCTAATGTTAACGGATGACCGCCCAAATTTAGGTTTTGTACGAAATAAGTCAACATAACTATATCTCCTTTGATCAAAACATAGTTCACTGGCTGAAGCCTAGGTGCGCCTAAGTGGTTAACGTAAGATTTCTCTCCTGGTCAACTCACTTTTTATATGCCACTTTGACCCTCCATACATCAATGAATTTCTAGGAATTGTCCTATTACGAACATGACAGATGAAAAGTCCAATCACTAATTATTCGGACTTGTTATATACCCACAAATACGAGACCAAGTAAAAACACGATAGCGTAGTCGGATGGGATTGTGTATTTGGGTGGTTGTATCAAGATACCGGTGCGTTCCGACCACCTGGCTAGAGAGTCGAATACGAGCAGTGGAACGCAACACGACAGTGTGCCAAATGGCGAGGATGCTTGACTGGGTGCCTTCAGCTTAGCTAGTCCAGTTAAACTATCAAGTTCAGCACCAATGTTGAATGTCGCCGAACCCTAGGCTATTGATTTTGTGGAAGTGTGTGACGCTACAGATCACTCCCTCCTAGCGGGTTCATGGTGACCCTAAGACGATGCCAGCCGGAAGTAAAAACCCAGTGGTTTCTCCACTGGTAAAACTCTTCCAATGGGCTCACTGCGTGAGGTGGCCCCTGGTTGTCTGGACTTATTCTAGGGTATTATGGCAATTGAAAAATAAAATACAATAAATCGAATTGGACGTCGATCGCGGTCCTAAGTTCCTTTTGACGTTCCGTTCAGTGCTCGTTGCACCTAGAATATAAATAAAAGTCTTAACACCACGAAAACGTTTCGTAAAAATGGGAATTATCTACATAAAAATATACCGAAAATAAAGTTTACTCTTATTTTCACCGCTTTTTAAAAACGTTTCATTACATGGTGATAAAAAATTGATCATAAAAAGGGAGAATGTACGGGGGGATTCACATTGCCGGTAAATAAGGAAAATGGTGCCTTGAAAAAAATTTCGGAATAAAAAAATGGTCGGCACATCTTATTTCACACTACTAATGAATGTCGTCGAACCCTGGGCTATTGATTTTAGGGAAGTGTGTGACGTCACAAATTTCTTTAAGAGCTGCAAATTAACAAGTGAGTTCTTCTCCAAGTTGTGAAAAAAATATAAAACACACACAGCATCATTAGTTAGCTAGGAATTAGTCCCGCTAAATTTCAAGAAAAACCCCATTCCTAAATAGGCTAGCAGGCAACAATGAGGAACAGCTCCATGTTTCAGAAAACATTACATCAACTCCAACTATCTAACAATGCAAAGACTTCAGTCTCCTGTTTAAGTGCATACTATGACAAGCTTTAACTATGAAAAAGATGTATTAGGACCTGAAAGTTATTGTTTAAACGTACAGTACCTAGGTTTCTATTGCGATCAGCACTGCTTCAAATACTCTGAAGGTCGTCGGATGGAACAGTTACTTGCAAACTTTAATGACTTAGAAGAATGTTTAATATCTGATGATGTTTTTGAGAGTTACTTCAACTACTATCTGTCACTTCCAGTAACAAAAGTCAATTTTATACATTTTTGTTGACAGGTTTTCTCTCGTAAGCTGCAATATAACCGTTTGAGCGGAGAATTCATCAGTTTTGACCCTTATGATTTTAACTACAAAAGTCCGATGAATTATGGATTATCTGATGAGGATCGTGAAAGGGTTGTCCAGTGGGCTGAAGCGGAACGTATGCCACACTTTTTGAGGTAGATTTACTTATATTCACTTTCTTATTTGCTTTTTATCTTAATAGAAGTGACGTATACCGAGAGCTTATTTTATGTAAGCTATTAGCAGCCCCGCTGGAGCTGAACTCAGATCACACAGACTATTGGGTACCTTTCGAAGCAGAATTAGAGAGCACTTTCACTGGTCCTGCTGGTATCAGTAGGCAAACTCGCACTTCTGGAGATTCGAATATTAGCTCTTACGAAAATGGATCAGACAATAACGATAGTGGGACTTCCAGTCAGGTTTGTCGTCGTTATTATTTGACGTCTGAGTTTCTTTTTAAAAACAGTCTTACTAAACTTGAGAGTTGTTTTTGGTAAGGCTGTTACTTTCTGAACCCAACATCATTCAACATCAATAAGACAGGTGCAGGAAATAAGCAGTTTTTAACCTCTCCCATCTGGTTCTCACAGTATAATCTGAAGCACTTTCACGCTGGAGGGAAATTCGACAGGTCTGATATGGTAAAATTAAATAAAGTCGTTGTGTGGAGTTTCGAAATACAGAACATGACAGTTTCAAATTCTGGGTTTTTAAGCAAAATAAAGTCGTGTGTTATGTCACTTGTTTTTCCAAGTATCTCTACTCAGTAAATCAGTCGATGGAATGGACATGACGATGCACCAGCAGTGTGCTACAAAAGTCGATCACTCCATAAAAAATCTCGTACTTTTCAGTCACATGATTCGTCTATTCTTTGTAACTTTCCTACTATATCCTCTGATATTCTTTAACCTGCTGGAAGGAAAACAGGTTGAGTGTCTAATTTTATTCAGTATCATAAACTCCATGGACAAGTTACACATCTACCCGTGTTAAAGAAAAGCAAAAGAAACCATTCCTCGCATATCTGGCTGGTAGTCGCAATGACTATACGTTTAGCTATTTTCTTAAATCTGTTAGTTAGATGTGAACTCTTGGTGAGGAAAAAGTCTACGGGTAGTGCACAATTATCAGTTTAAAACCAAAACAAGGCTGTGGGTAAGATGATGAAAAACCCACCTATGATCCAAAAGGATGCTATATGTTGCATCACAATATTCTGAATCCCCTACTTACTGATGTAAGTCAGCATCCAGTGGTTTTAAAGCTACGACTTGCGATGAACCCTTATTCGTTTAAGGTTACATTTTGGGGCAAGTGAGTTTCATTGGTGCCATATGCGTAATTATTTATATACTATATATATATATATATATATATATATATATATATATATATATATATATATATATATGTTACAGTGATTTCATAAGCATCAACTTGGCCAATAACCTTTATAGATTTGTCTGAAACTACACCCGTCATTAGTTTCCCCAAATTCACCTTGAGTTTCTAAAACATAAGCAAGTATAACATTCTGAGACTTCTTGGTGTTAGGTAGTTCATCCGTGTAAAACAGAAATAACTATCAGCTTAAGACTTTGTTTTGTAACACTTTACTCTTCAGGAGCTCCGAAGATAATTTTTTTCTTTAGTTTTAACAATCCAATGATTAGTGCTAAAGTTTATTGTCTGGAGTTGATTGTTTTTTGATAAAAATCCACTTCAGGGTAGTTAACACCAAAACTTTGGGAACAACATCTAACTCTTTTTGAAAAATACCTACCAACAGTATTACAGAAGCTCAAAATGTTTGTGGGTCCTGTGCGTTGAACTGGCCTTAAAATGGAGTGTAAGCAAGGCGTTTGCCAAATAGTGAATAACTTTGCGATAGAGTTTGCTCAACATTTGATCTAAGAGCTTACACTCAGTAAAGCAGTATTAAACTGCTATCGATTCCCGAAATACGTGTAAAACACTGGAAGTGTAACTGTTACGTAACACTAGACCAGCCTTACTAAAGTGGATGTTCTCTAGTACCCACTTAATCAGTGGCTTACCTAAAGTTTAAGTACTGACAACGAAACACAAATCAAAAAGACTGGGCTATATGCTCTAAACAGCAATATGTTTAAATACAATAGGAATGAAGGTGATTTCTGGAGAAGTCTACCCAATTTATCTGGCTAATATGGCTGAACTGAGGACTCTGAGAATGTTCTTGTTAACCGGGCACAAAGGAGACCCAAATGACATCGAAACCTTCTCTGATGCATACTCGTTAAAACAAAACCTATAACACCTTGAGCAGCAGGAGGCAATCTAGAAGTTTGTTTAGTTAACATTTAATTAATTCAGTTTAGTCTGCTTGCTTTGACTCTGGTTGTATTTCGGTACCAGAAAGGTGCACTACACATGGGTCGTGATACTTTATTGTTCATTATTTTCGAATATGGTTTCAGAGACTAGGTGGTCACAGACAGTGTACAAATTATTTGATATTGGTGGGATTTAGAGACATGAGCTGTGATGCCACATAAACAATTTCAAAAAAGTGTGATTGCTTTTTATTTGAGATATAACAGCTGGAGTCCTAAGGTTGTAAGTTACTTAATAAATTATAAACAAATAAGAAAATGAACCCGAATGATAAGATTATACATCTGAAGCATGCTAAGCGGTCAGTCAACCTTTTTACTGAATGAACTGAGATACAAAGCAACAGAATACAGTTAAACCGGACTTCTAGTGGTATGTAGACAGAACGTTAGTACAGTCTGTGGATTATATCACTATGAGCTGCTGTTACTATGACCAGATGTCTGTTACCTGTACAGTCTCCACCAACTATTCATATGGATGTGTAAGCCACATCGTTATTTAAGTGGCTTTCAGGTTTATACTCGGGATTAAAAAGTGCAATGAAGGATCATGTTTTATTCTTTACACTTCCATTACCATTGGTTCCGTATAATATTTTTTATGCAATATGCTTTTTCTACACCTTTTCTGATTTCTGATCATACGGTCATGGCTATCACTACTCATTTACATGCTGTATGTAGTTGAATCTTAAATGCCTTATTTCCTTCGAGAACACTAGAATGCTAGGATCTCTGAAATAAATCATTTGTCAGCTTTCTGGTTGACTGATGTCTAGAGATGCCCTTCAGATACTTTTGCTGTATGAAAACGTTTGACCAGGTTACATCTCAATTTTAGATGATTTATATGGGGAGATCGGACACAATTACCACAGAATACTGGGGAGTTTTTTAACTTTGTTGTCATAAGTTAAAACCTAGAACTTATTTCACATTCGACACTGACTTTCGGAAAAATGTTTCCTCTTTCAATGGAAAAGCATTTCAAACGACTTTTATAATCCAGTACATGGAGAATAACTGATGTAGTCAGCCTTTTTTTGCAGAGGTATAATTTCGTAAATAAGTTTTTCTTCAAGTTTTATATGTACTGAACTTTCTACCTTAAAAGTTGAGAAGTATTTTCGTGAAACAACGTATTAGGTTCATGAACCTAATTAGCAGAAATATAACCACTCCCGTAAAAATCACTTGGTTGGCCTAGGACTAAGTTCGAAGTAAAAGCTACTACTCATCGTAGCTAAATGCTAACAGTTTCTTTTCATAAAAACTAACTCTGCTCTATACCTCTATGAATAAGTCTTTATTTTAGCCTAGCAAGGCCTTTTTATTTAAGACAAAAAACTTTTCAGTGCGTAGTTTTTATAAATACTATGGAGCAAAACCAAACACTTTCACGTGAAATAATTATATAAAGGACTTAAAGAAAGATAAATATGCCAACAGTATAATGGATTTGAAAGCATTTCACATAAAAACTACTAACCATTGTTTGTCAATATCTTTATAAACTCATCAAGAAACCTATATTACTTAGAATAATTCTAACTAACGGTCACAAACTAAGTGATTTGAAGCTGCGTCTTACTTTAACCATGCATAGTCTTCTGGGCACAAAATCTTTAACCTACCCAATATGGCACTTCGAGATAGATAATACTTGTCTCACCTACCTAAGGCAGTTTATGCTCAAAAGATCGAAGATCAGCTCATATCCCTTGTTTTTAACTGAAGGATATTCATCAATAATGAACAAGTAACAACTTTTTTTGAAGACTTACACGATCGAGTAAGAAATGCTTGCTTCTCTTCAAAGTTTCCTATAAATATCATGCAACATTCATTTGACATTGGCATCCATTTAACCAGTCGCTCGAGTTTTGCTTCTCATCACTAATTTTATCCAACTAAAGTATTATGGACAGGATCCATAAGTCTGAAAGTAATCTACGAGTTTCTGGACGATGATATCTGATAGTCATTAAAAATTTTTGATGTGGTCTCGCATAAACTTTGAAAATACTTTTAACAGGTATCTTTAGCTGACAACTTCCTAGAAACTTTGATATGAGTTTATCTTATCACTGACAACAACTTTGTTCAGGATAACATTATCATGAAAGGTTCCTTACATGCCTAAATTTAGTAGTGAAATTAATCCAATTTACCTATGAATGAGAAAGGGATGAAGGGGATAAAGAAAAAAAGATGGAAGTTTAGACAATTCCCCATTCAAATCGATACTTAGATTTAAAATCATCTCACCCTCTGTCAATCAAAGTAAAATTTCCTAAATGTATAAGTAACAAGGCGAAATAGTCTATTAGTAGGAATGAATCTGAGACAAGAAAGTAGATACATCAAGAATAACTTATGTCTCAATAACTAGCCATTTGAATTTATCAATCAATTCGTAGGAAAATGTAACGAAAATATGAACAATGGGGGGAACACATGTGTTACTAATAATAATAATAATAATAATAATAATAATAATAATCGCGACACTGAAGGCAGAAGCACGAACCTCCATTGTGTTGTCAAACAAGCAAGACATTTCAGCGGTACTAAAACGAATTCCCAATAAGACTGGGATTAGAGTGCCACTGAAGTCTACAAACTAACTCAGAAACAAGTTTTGTGGGTTAAAACATCTAGTTAATTCAATTAGGCAAAATAGTTTGACTTCAAAAATCCCTTGTAATGATTGTGAAGTCAAATACACAAGTCAAAGTTGCCGGCCAGGGTCATTTAGGCTGTTTGAGCACAAACCTTTATATAAATCAAGATTGGCAGAGCCTATTAGGATAAAGAATCAACAAAATAGCTCAGCTATAGCCATACATGGGGCTGCACACAATCACACAACTGGGTGGGACAGAGTGATAGTATTGAAGACTAACTTTGGTTGGGTGGAGGGAGAGATTGATAACCAAATCGAATCAATACCAAATACATGCAACGGGAATAACTCAGTACCTATTCCAGATGTATGTAGAACTCTGCTACTCATATCACTACGGAGGAGGGAGAAT